AGTGTGGCATATATACACAATAGAATAATATTCAGCCTTTTAAAAGAAGGCTGGCATGGTGTTGCACACCTGTAATCCTAGGGATTCAGAAGGCTGAGGCAGGAGGATCCTAAATTCAAGGCTATTCTGGGCAACTTAGAGAGAACCTGTTTCAAGATAAAAAATGAAAAGAGCTGGGCTAAAGCTCAAAGGTAGAGTACTCCTGGGTTCAATCCCCAGTACTACAAAAATAAATAGATAAAAATAAAAACTATTTTCCAGGAAGGAAAAAAAAAAGAAATTTTAATTATTGATTGTCGAATTCCCAGCGACAAAAACACTCAGGGTCACTCCAGGGGAACTGGGCTGCACAAAATAACCACACAAGAGACAGAGATACCTTTTTCTTTGGGGGTCCTGTGATGGCTCCTCTGACCTTAAGAGTCCACAGAAAGCTCAGGCAAGCAGGAGTGCGTGCTGGCCCCTTTTATTGAGAAGAAGTCATTCAAATGAGGCAAGGGGTCAGGTTTCAAGGGGCTAAGTCTAGCTTCATGATGTCTGCGCTCAGCAGGTTGACTGACATCTAGGAAGGCCACACCCAAAGGCAGAGTAAGAGAAGGGGACACACAAAGGGCATTTCCATGGAACATTCTATCCCAAATAGGGTAAAGGGATAATATCACAAAGGAACAGGTGAGCATAGCTCGGTCCATGGGGCTACAGGAAGGCATGCCTACGCATGAAGTCACATTCTGCTACTTTGAGGATCAGGGCAGCGTCCAGGCCACTACGGAAGTGACCAGGTCACTACAAAAGTGACAGACAGAACCTCTTCCAATCACATGAAGGAAAATGTTTATTATGCTTTAAATCAGCATTTCCAGATGTTTTGCAACAGAGGCATTTTAGATCACATTATTGAAATCTCTTCCTAGTCAGCCACAGCAGTCAGAATGCGACAGCCTCCCAAAACTGATTGTATTTTTTCATTTCTGGAGCTGTATTTTGTTCATTTTCTTATCTTTTTTTTCTTATCCTTTCAGATAGTTTCTCATTCCCTTCTCATGTTTTCTAATTACACCCTTACACCCTTTACCTAACTAGCAGTTTAAGCATACTTACATGTTTTGTGATTTTAGATTGTGATCTCATGTCTGGCTAATCTTCATCTGTGGGAACTTGCAGGAGTCAAAATGAGGGTGCACACCTTTAGAGATGACTGGTATTTTTGCTCTGGCCAAGTGCCCCTGTGCTGTGGATCTACAGCCAACTCAGCTCAATTCCAAACCACCTAGGGAGTTTATATTTAAATTCTACACCCATTTGAAGGAAGTTTATAGCTATACATTCTCAGAGAAGATTTGATTTACTTTTGGTGATGAGGTCATTACAAACATCATCGATTTCTCCTTCATGGAAAGCAGATATTTTTTTCTGTAGTCTTTCTGGACTTCAAAAGTCCTGATTTTATATAAGACTCTTATTTCCAACTTATTATATTGCATGTGCCCAAATCCATGTCTCTTCCTTTCTATGCAGCCTTAAAACTCAAGGCTTTAAGTTCCAGGTATTAAGAATGTTCAAGATTTCATACTCATTTACCCTATTGGTTTCAACTTCCTCTTTATTTTGTGTCTCCAGGGATATATCCCTTGTTTTCTTTGAAGTTCACCTATGCATATAAAGGAATGTTTATTATATTTCAAATCAGCATTTCCAGATGTTTTGTAATTTTACATTATTGAAAATCTTCTTTTCTTAGTCAGCCACAGAAGTCAATATGCATAATGTTTAATAATTTTCAGGCTGGGATTGTGGCTCAGTGGTAGAGCGCTTGTCTCACATGCGTGAGGCACTGGGTTTGATCCTCAGCACCACATAAATAATAAAATAAAGTACTGTGCCCATCTACAAATTAAAAAAAATGTTTAATCATTTTTTGGTCAAACATATAATAAACAGATTCATAAATGAACAGGACACTCTGCTTTATTTATTCATCTATTTATGCAGGGGATGGAACCCAGGTGTTTGAGTATGCTAGGCAAGTGCTCTACTACTGAGCTACATCCCCAGCTCACATATGCATTTTAAAACTTTTATTATGCACAAACTCTGGCCAACTGCTCAAAATAATCAATCAAACAATATATGAGACAACCAGGAAATTAACACAGGATAGATTCCCATACCCACTGTGTTCATTGTCAAATCAAAATGTGCCTCTCACCTGTCCTCCCAAACCCCTCTGCCCAGCAGCCCCTTTGCTTGAAGCATCCCCTCCCCCAGCCATCCTGGCCAAGGCTGCTCCTCCCTTCAGCAAGGCTGAGGGAAGACCAAATGGCCTTGGGTGTTTCCGCCAGGTCTGTCCCTAGACAGAGGGCTTCTGGTCCAGGAATGACTCACATCCAGGAATTGCAAAAGGAACTCCAGTCCCCTGCATTGTGACCAAGTCAGGACACATTCCTGAGATCCAAGGTTTTGCACCCTACTTCCACCACCCCACCCTATGCTGCCTAATGCTTTTGTCCTAGACAAAGGGCCAGCGAAGAGGTTTCTGATGCCACAACACTCGGCTTGCCCATCACAGCAACCCCATCCCAACACAGTCTCTTTATCCTGCTTCTTGGAGGCAGCACCTCTTTATCTCTGCCCTACACTAGCTGGCCTCCCCAGAGCTTCTCAAGGGTGTCTCCTTCCACAGTGCACCCCATTAATACCTTGGGGAGGTTGGGACAGTTAAGGAACAGCTGGGCAGGCAAAGCACAGGGCATACCTGCCTCCTTTAACCTTTGGGTGCTTTTTTCCTCCATTAAACCAAGGAGTGTCTAATATTTCACCTTCATTCCCACATCCTTTGTGAACTCTGGTTTTAATTACCAGAATATAAACAATCCCCTTCCAGGCATTCCACCTGCGGTTCCAATCCAAAACCTGTGTTCATTGCCTCAGGCTGGCCTGGTTTAGGACGGGTCTTCTTGGGTATCCATTCCCCAGGACTGCAAAATCTGAACAAGATTTGCAAAATGATACAATTGTTTCTGTGTCCAAGTCTTCTCTTCCCAGACTTACTTTAAATAGCCCCTGCCCTGTCTTGGAGGACTGGAAGGTGACCAGTTCAGGGTTCACATCACAGTGCCTGAATTCCTCAGGCCCTTGGACCTGTGCAGGGTTCCATGCTTCTGGCACCCTGCACGGGATGGCAGCTGCTTCTCAGCCCATCCCAGCCAGACCTGCTCTGGGTTCTGCACTGGGGGTTCCTGGTTGCTGTAAGTGCCAGCTCTAGTGTCCCTGTCTATACCCACTTTGGGGCCTGGATCTGCTGGAGAGGTCCTCCTCATGAGCTCTGTCTAGTTCCTTCAAAGCACTGGAAAATAACCTGGTTTGGGCAGAACAAGCATTCTTAATAAAATGCTAACGAAATTTTCTGTAATTTTCTGAATTTATAATGTTGGTAAGACTTGTTCTTGGGAACTAATCACTGCCTAGCTGGCTGTCATCTACAGGTCCAGTCATCTGCAACCAGAGATTATTTCTGTACCTAATCTGATTCTTGTTCTTGAGTGAATCTTTGAATCTCAGGGCTTTTCTCTTTCATTGGGATTATAACAAAACCTGGCCCCTGCTTCTCAAAACTCAACAGTGGGTTCACAGTTTCCAGGCCATGTCCCCACCTTTCCACCCACCACCACTGTCACCAGCACAGTCTCCATCAGGCCTCAGTGCTGGGCCAGAATGCCCCCTCCTTGGAGAACCACCCTGGCTCTAGATTCTTGCCACCCTGCACAGCACACCTAGGTCCTGTCAGTAACATTAGGGAGCAGGCCCATGGGGGTGGGAGAAGTGGAAGAGTCAGCTGGTCCAACTGCGCAGAATTCCACTCAGGCCAAGTGCTCCCACTTGTGCAGCTCCTCCATCCCACCCTCCCATGCACAGGCCTCTCATCCCCCTCGTCCAAGGCGCAGAAAGAAGAGACCTGCTACTCACTGCAATGCCTCTCTCCTAACTGTGGGCGTTTGTCCCAAATTAGCGATGCCCCAGGTGTCCAGAGCTACTTCCCAAACCCCAGCAGGCTGCCTCCAATTGGGCCTTTGTCAATGCAGGAAAAGAACTCACATCCCCAAAATACAGGACAGCCTGCAGAGCTTGGCTTTGAACAAACTGAGCTGGCAGCAAGCACAGCCTCCCCAACCCGCCCTAACCGCAGGCTTGAGGTCAGGGCTGGGCAAAGCAGCCATCACGTGGGCACCCGGGTGAGTACCACTATTTGCATAACACAGTCCCTTCCAGGAGTGATGGGTAGGTCCTGGGGTAGTTCCCAGCTTGCAGTTGGACAAAAAGAAAGTGCTTTTGGTTGATTTAAAAAAAAAAAAAAAACAAACTCCAGTTCACAGCACCAATTCACTGAGAGAGCTCCAATTACAGGTTCAAAGATTTCTGGGTCACAGAGGAGCAGTGTCCTGGATCCAGACTGAAGCACCAGCAGTGCCCACTCCACCTCTTGCACAGGCCCAGAAACCACGCTGCAATGGGACACCAAGGGGATCACTTGCCAGATGTCCCCAGAGACAGCAGCAGCCTGTGGCCCAACCCTTTCCCCATCACACCCTGGGAGTTCCTGCCCTTCCACTTTCCCTCCACACTGCCTGTTTTTAATCAGCTTTTCATTGCTTTGACCCAAATACCTGACAAAATGACTTGGAGGAGGAAAGATTTATCTTGGTTCACCGTTTCAGTCCATGGTTGGGCCAAAGGCAGAACCCTCATGGTGGAAGAGCACCTGGTAAAGCAGAATTTCTCGCCTTGCGGGGGCGGGGCGGGGGGCGGCAGTCCCAAGAACATGTCCCCAAGGGTCTTCAACCAGGTCCCACCTCCCACAGACGCCACCTTCGAGTCCCAGCTATTAGTGGATTAATCCAATAACAAGGCTGACACCAAAAGCTCAATCCTCGTCCACAATGCTGGACACAGTTTTGAGGAAAAGGAAAAAAGTTTTATTTTTTTTTCAAATAAAAAAAAAGTTTTAATTTTTTAAAATTGTTTTTATTTATTTTTTTGTTTTGCTTTGTTTTCAAATGAAAGAACAAAGAAGAACACAGAGGGGTCTCCTGTCCCAGATGTTGTGACGCTCACTGCCAGGAAATGGTGGGCTATTAAAGAGGGGATGGGAAAAGTAAGCTCCAGGTGTGCCCTTCAGGACATCATTCACATGTGGCCTTGGAGACTTGTTCTCAGATCCTCCGTGCCAGCCCTGAAGTCTGGATTCCTTCATTTCTGTGGTCAGTGAGCTGAAGAATAGGTAACTCAGCCTAGGATGGGAAGGCTAACCTTGCCTTCCTGAGTTGGAGGGAGAAGAGGAAGGAAAAAAATGTCAGTTTTAAAATACACGGGGGTGGGGTGGGTACTGGGGTTATGGCTCAGCGGCAGTTCAGCAGCACAAAGGGGCACCTCACTACAAGTTGGCACCTTCACAGCCAATCACTTCCCAAAAGCCACCTCAGAATACCACTGCATAGGAGACCAATCCCTCAGCACACGCAGCCCTAGAGGGGCAGGGACTACACTACCTCCAGGTGTTAAGGGAGACTGAGTAAGCACCCATCTTGCCACCTCTGAAACAGTTAAACAGGAGGCTGAAAAGGTGAAGTCCTCAGCAATTCAGGGAGGGACACCTTCCAGACAGGATCCTCCAGAGGTGAAACCTGAGTCAGAGGAGGAAAGGACCCCACACAGTACTCCTACCTCTAGCACCAGACACACCTGGACCCCAAACACACCTGGACCCCACACACCTAGAACACCAAATCCACCTGGAACACAAACACACCTGGAATGCCACACAGACACCTGGAACACCAGA